GAAATGAAGTTGCTCAAGTTGTGAATGCTGTCAAGACAAGATCCCTACCCACTGAATCAGTTCCATACCCTCTCCTCCTCCTCCTGGTCCTCCTGTCCCTCCTCCTGCTGCTGCTGCTGCTGCTGCTGCTGCTGCTGCTGTCCCTCCTCCTCCTGCTGTCCCTCCTCCTCCTCCTGCTCTTCCTCCTCCTCCTGTCCCTCCTGCTTCTCCTCCTCCCGCCCCTCCTCCCTGCTTCTGCTCCTCCTGCTCCTACTCAACCCTCTCCATCCTTTCCCTGCTCCCTCTGATGCTGTTGTCTTGTTTCTCCTCCTTAGTCTTCACCGACCATGCAAGCGAAGACGCCGAACTGACAAGTCCAGCGGAGGAGGAGGCGAGAGGAGTGAGGGAGGGGAGAGGACGCGAAGGTTGATGGAAGCCAGAAGGAGAGAAGAATCGAAGAACATAGACGAGCAAGAAATACGAAAATCTGCAGAGACAAGCAAGAATAAGTTGGTGGAGGAGCAGCAGGAAGAGAATGTGGTGAAGGATGAAGGAAGAGAATGTGGTGAAGGACGAAGGAAGTGAATGTGATGAGGGATGCTGTTGCAGTGGGTCACCATGCAGGCATCTTGTACTGCCGCGACGTTGGTTGAAAGAGGATCAGCAGCTTCGAGGAGGACAACAATCGCGATGAAGAGCTGAAGAAAGAATGAAAAGGGAGAGAGAGAAGGAGAGGAGAGGAGAGGAGAGGGGAGGGGAGGGGAGGGGAGGAGCTTCTCACTGCAATGAACATCTGAAAGAAACTGAGCAGCCGAGCAGTAATTATCTGTTCACATGTCATGAAGTGTGAAGGAAGTGGAGCACGAGGAGGAGCAGGAGTAAGGAGAAAAACAGAGAAAGGAGGAGCAAGAGGAGCAGGAGGAAGAGGACGACGACGGAGGCGGGGGAAGGGGGGGGGGGAACAGGAGCAGGAGCAGGGGCAGGAGCAGGAGCAGGAGCAGGAGCAGGGGCAGGAGCAGGAGCAGGAGCAGGAGCAGGAGCAGGAGCAGGAGCAGGAGCAGGAGCAGGAGCAGGAGCAGGAGCAGGAGCAGGAGCAGGAGCAGGAGCAGGAGCAGGAGCAGGAGGAGTTGCTCATCACTTGAAGCCTGTTCGCCACTTTCTTGTCTTCCCCTTCCTCTTCATTCATCGCAACGTCAACTCGAACTTGTTGGCTCCTCGTGCGGAGAGACGTAGAAGCATCTGCATGCTCGGACTCGAGCCGTACCTGCAGCTGGATGATGGAGATGATGGAGATGATGGAGATGATGGAGATGATGGAGATGATGACAATGTAGTCAGAAGATGGAAGGATACAGCGGAAAACTGACCTGTTTCTGACTGTCTTGCAGATTCGAGTCTACTTTGTGGGTGAGAAAATGAGAAAAGCAGATAATGCAAGTCAAAACTTCTTGTCGATGTTCACCTGGACGATTTGATGATTCCTGTTTTTGAACTTCTTCTTTCATCAACTTCATCTTCTTCTCTTCCTCTTCTCGACTGCATTATGTCATAAACAACCAAACAACGGGAAGAACGAAACAGAGATCAAGTCGACAGACAACCAGAAACTGACACGAGATGCTACGACAACATGTCTGGTCGACATCTCTCAACCTTTTCATCTCTTCTCTCATCCTCTTGTTGAACTCGTTCTCAATGTCTTTCACCGACAAGCTCAACGACTCCCTTGTCGTCTCTCCTCCCTTGTTTGACATATCCTGCTATCAAGTTAGTCCATCCTCGTCCTCCTCCTCGTCCTCGTCCTCGTCCTCGTCCTCGTCCTCGTCCTGCTCCTCCTCGTCCTCGTCCTTCTCGTCCTCGTCCTCGTCCTGCTCCTCCTCGTCCTCGTCCTCGTCCTCGTCCTCCTCGTCCTCTTCGTCCTCCTCCTGCCCTTCCCTCTCTCCTCACGGCACCCACGTGAGCTGAGGACGCGGGCGAGAGTTTCAACTGAATGCTCTGGATTGTCTTCTCAGCCGCCTGAGACGAAGTGAAAAGAGAGAAGATCAATAGTGAAAGGAATTGAGGAGGAGGGGAGGAGGAGGAGGAAGGGCGGCAAGTTGGGGAACAGCAAGGAGGAGGAGGAATAGGAGGAGGTACCACTAGTGAAGCTTGCTCATGTTGTTTGATCTTCTTCACGAGCTGCTTGAAATCTTTGTCGCTCGGATGCTCCCACGAAGACTCGCCCGTCCGCTCAGAGTGATAGAAGATCGATCCCTCCTCCGTCTCATGCTCAGTCCACCTGCTCGTTCTTAGTCTCGTCCTCGTCCTCGTCCTCCTCTTTTCCTCCTTCCTTGTTCTCCTCCTCCTCCTCTTCCTCCTATTTGTTGTACCCGATAGGAAGTGGAGCGTTTGCTGCTGCTTCTGCGATCCACAGCAAGTCCTCGTCGTTGTCCTCCATCCCGAGGTACCTGGCGAGCTGCAACAGATCTCCATCTACCTCCTTCAGCCTCTGTCGACGCTTCTCCTCCTCCTCCTCCTCCTCCTCCTCTTTCTTCTTCGCTTCCTCCGCGTATCCTGTCAACCATGTCTCAGTCTCCTCCTCTTGCCCCCCCTCTTTCTCCTCCTCCTCATGGTTCTTCTGCTGCTCCTGTCTCAAAGCCATTCCCATCCGCTCCTCCTCCTTGCTCTGATTTACATCCTAACCTCTTTCCTCCTCCTCCTTTGCGCTTGTCTGCTTGCTCGCGTGCGAGGCGAAGGCTTGTCTGAGCTGCGATTGCCAGGCCGACGAGTCGCTCCCGCTGCCCGCTGACCCTTAAGTGAGAGGAGGAGGGAAGAGAGAGAGGGGGAGGACAAGGAGCAAGAGGAGCAGAGGAGCAGGAGGAGCAAGAGAGGAAGTGAAAACAGATATCATATGGAGGAGGCGGGGGTGGGGGGGGCAGAAGGGAAAAGGATGGAGTCTTGTCACCCTCTGTTTGATTCTTTATCTTGTGATCTTGTTGGGGATGGTCAGACGTTTCTCCCGCAGTCTGAGAATCTGTGAATGGGAGGAGAAACAAGGGAAAAGAAAGTTACAAGTGATGATGATCGAAGAATTTCACCCTGTTGCTCTCCATCAACTATGTTGAACTGCTGTTGTTGTTGATGATGCTGATGCTGATGCTGATGCTGATCTTGTTCATCTTGCTCAAAGATCGCCCTGTTTCATAACCTGTCACTCGTCTCATCGTCTCATCTTTTCACTTCCATTCATGCGATTTCAGCGAAGCCTCCATCTGTCAAGTCCGTCAACCAAACAACGTACTCCTCCTCCTCCTCCATCTCCTCTGCCTCTCCAACATATCCTCTCCTTTCCTCTCCCCATCTTCCTCGTTCCCCTTCCCTCCTCTCGCTCGTTATCCTCCTCGATTCCCTTCTTCTCTACTTCCTCCTTTCTCTGTCCACCTTCCCACTTCTCGGCCTGTTCTCCTCCTCTCACCTTCCCGTCTTGCGGCGCATCAGCATCCCTAGAATTCGAGTGTGACAAGAGGACAAGAAGCAGTGAAAGAAGAAACGGGAGAAAGGAGGGGGAGGAGCAGAGGAGGAGGAGGAGGAGCAGGAGCAGGAGCAGGAGCAGGAGCAGGAGCAGCAGGAGCAGGAGCAGGAGCAGGAGCAGGAGCAGGAGCAGGAGCAGGAGCAGGAGCAGGGGCAGCAGGAGCAGGAGCAGCAGGAGCAGGAGCAGGAGCAGGAGGAGCAGGAGCAGGAGCAGGAGGAGCAGGAGCAGGAGCAGGAGCAGGAGCAGGATTACATATCGAGAGGTTCGGGGGTGATGGAAGGGGAGGAGATGTCTTGTTGGCTGATCTTGTTGGGCCGAAGATTGAAATCTGAAAGACTCGGATGACAAGCCAAAGGACAGGCGAGGGAGAGGAGAGGAGGAGGAGCTGAAGGAGGAGATGGGGGGAGGACGGGAGGGAAGTAAAGGATGAAGAAGGGAAGGGAAGAAAAGGGGAAGGGAGGAGAGGAGGAGGAGGGAAGGGAAGGCAAGAGGAGGGGAGGAGAGGACAAGGAAAGAGGGGAAAAGGAGAAAGGGAGAGGAGGGAGGGGAGGAAAGGACCCTCTTAGGTCGCGAGTGACTTTTCCCCTGTCGGGAATTTCTTCATCGTCTCTTTCGTTATCAAAGAAAATTTCTTTCAAGAGCTGCAGAAAAAAATGAGAAGCAAATGAAACAAGGCTCCTCCTCCTCCTCCTCCTCCTCCTCCTCCTACTGTTCCTCTTTCTCCTTCTTCTCCTTCTGCTGAGGGGCGCCCTCCCCCTCGTCCTGCTCCTCCTCTCTCCTCTTGCTTCTCCTGTTCCTGCTGCTGATGCTGCTGCCCCTGCTGCCCCTGCTGCCCCTGCTGCTTGTCCTTGCCTTTGCCATCGTCCTTGTCCTTGTCCTCTTCTTTCTCCCCCCCCTCGTCCTCGTCTTCCTCTTCCTCCATCCAACCTTATCAGCGTCCTCTTGACGATGGAAAGTCAAAGTCACATCAACACTGATCGCTCCCTCGACACCTGCAGCAACTGTGACGAGGAGCAGGAGGAGGAGGAAGAAGATGAAAAACCAACATGTCATGTCTATTTGTTCTCTCCTCAACACCCAGAGATCAACAAGGTCTTCAATGAAGTGCTCCTTCACCCTAGTCGTGTCTTCCCTTGTGAACTGCTGGGACGAGTTAGATCAAGATGTACGACGCCATTGATTTCGGTCTCACAGCACGTGCGAAGAAGAAGGAGAAAGAGAGGAGAATCTCATTCTTTTGCGGGTCTTCTGTTTGATGTCAACCATCACCATCAATGCATGGTACCACATCTCCTCCTCGTCCTCGTCCTCGTCCTCGTCCTCGTCCTCGTCCTCGTCCTCGTCCTCGTCCTCGTCCTCGTCCTCGTCCTCGTCCTCCTCGTCCTCCTCCTCGTCCTCGTCCTCGTCCTCCTCCTCCTCCTCCTTTTTCTCCTCCTCCTCAGCTACCTCTCTTCATCGGAGATTCCTTCATCAACGGCTTCGGCTCGGGCATCATCAGGCACTGGGCGATGACGTCATCATTCTGCGATCCTCCTCCTCCCACTAGACGCGACTGAACCTCCGACTCCACGACCCTGAGGAACAAAACAGGAAAAACATTTCCAACGTCAGGGCAGACAACAACGCAACGGCTACAACAGCAACAACTTTCACGACTGGAACTACAACCACATACATTATGAATTCTCTATGACAGACACAACCATGTTGGCAGCGGTGGCAGCAGAGGCAGAGATAGCAAACAATCCTTCACCTTCTCCTCCTGCAGTGTTTACAAGCAAACAAGTTGTATCCCTGTCTTCCAGCTCCTTGCGAGCAGTTGCAGCAGAGACCCTCGAACCCTCCGGCTGGCAGCCCCGCGCAGTGAAGATGATTGTCGGTATTGTCCACGATCAAAGCTGAGCAGCTCGTACAAACATCTCCAGTCCTCCTCTCAGTACTGCCAAGTTGCAGAGGAGGAACAGGAGCAAGAAGGGCTGGTTTAGCATGGACGCCTCTCCTTGCTGGGGAGGACGATGCCTGCTTAAACTTCTCCTCCTCCTCCTTCTCTCCCGCTGTCTCGTCCCCTTCCTCCTCCAACTCGCGAGGGTTGGAGCAGCATGACCCCGAGTCTTCGTCTCCGTCATGGTGGATGGAGTAGGAGCAGGTGACGTCTGGCTCGTACACGGGCGGACGAGCTGAGAAATCTCCAGTACCGCTGGGACTCAACAAGGAAAACCATGGGAGGTCGACTTTCTTTCCTTCACTTTTCTCTCCTCCTCCTTCGCCTGCACCCTCCTGCTCCTCCTGCACTTTCTCATTTATGTCTTCTTGATCTCTCTCCCCTTCTCCTTCCTTTCGCCATTCAGTTCCCTCCCTCCAACTTCCCTCGGTCTTTCTTCTCGGGCTCCATCTCCTGCAGAACGTGTGACTGCTGCTGCTGCTTCTGCTGCTGCTGCTCTGCTGCTGCTGCTTCTGCTGCTGCTGCTGCTGCTGCTCCTCCTCCTCCTCCTCCTCTTCCGCCGCCGCCGCCGCCGTCGCCGTCGCCGCTTCCTCCCTTGGTGGTGTCTTCAACTCCTTGTTCTCCCGCACTCTCTTCTCCAACTTCCATCTCTCCACCTTCAGGTCCTGCGGCTGCTCCTCGTCCTTCTCCTCCTTGAACTTGGTTGCGATGCTCCTCCTTGTTTGTAACACCTGCAACGGAGGGAAGGAGAGGGGGAGGGGAGGAGAGACGTCAAAGTTTGTCTTGAGTGAAGGACGGCAGTGGAGATGGTGCGAGGGGCAAGGGGAGAGTAGGGAACGAGGGAGGGAGTTGGCAGCAGTGAGAGAGAGAGAGGTTGCCAGGGAAGCAGGAGGAGAGGGATGACAGCAAGGGGAAGGAGCAGGGACTGCACCTTCATCTTCGAGCTTCATGACGGGCAGCAAACGGTCGTCCTTGAGGAGGTGGAGATCAGGGGAAGGGACGCCAGCAGAGCTTGCTTGAGACTTGATGATGTCATCGAACACAAGGATCCTCTCTCGCGCATTCGGCCACTTGAGCTCTTTGTCTTCAACGTTGGAGTACAGCCCGACATCGTCGACATCGATGCTTGCCGTTTGAATGTGCTGGGCTTTCTCGTACAGGTCAGCCTGAGATGGGCTCTCAGGTAGCTGGTGCTCCTTGGCTCTCGACCGTCTGTTCATGTCTTGCTTCAACTTTTCGATGAGCTGTTGGGTCTCACTCCGCTTTGAAACGATGCGGTGTAGAACCTCTTTGATGTCGTTCTCATCCCCCAGCCTCGATGCGTTTTGCAGCTTGTTGAGGAAAGCAGCTGCGATCTTGTTGGGGCGAGGCGTACCTGCCGCTTCCTCCGTCTTCCATTCTGCCAACCTTTCTCTGAAATTTATCTGCAGCCTGCAAGCAAAGACAACTCGCCACGGTGAGCAGGAAGAACACAATGAATGATAGGCAGACGAATCTGGGATGGGAGGAGAGGCGGGAGGAGAGGTGGGAGGAGAGGTGGGAGGAGAGGTGGGAGGAGAGGTGGGAGGAGAGGTGGGGAAAGTGGTGGGAGTGGAGCACGAAGGTCAAGGAGGAGTCACCTCTGCCTCTCATTCTGTGCGCGAGAGTTCAAGAACGAGCTCGGGCTCACAGGGTGCTGGAGCTCCTCCGCCATGAGATCCGCTAAAACCTGACGCAGAGGAGCAGTATTCCTTCTCCTTGACTTGACTTCCCCTCATCAACTGCTTCAGCTGTCATCCATTAGTCACGCCCCAAAGGGAATCTCTTGTGTTATTGATTTTTATCATGATATCTCTTTCTCGCTCCTCGTTCCCCTGCCATTACCTAAACATTACTTGCCCAACAAACCATATCGAAGTCTTGGTTGCTAATTCTTGCAGGAGGAATCAGAGGATATTGGAAGTTTCTTCAAGACATGATTAATAAAAGTAACTCATGACGGAATCTCTCGAGAGTCTAAGAATCAGGATAGTTTCGGGAGTCAGCAGTAAATATCTTATTTGCCATGGATCCTAAGCTCCCTATTCCTGATCCTCTTCCATCTGCTTTCATCAACCTGACTTCATACTATCTGCCATACGATTCAAAAGGACTCACAAAGCATACTTTTGCATTCATGCTTGATTGCGTGGTTGATCATTTATGGAAACAGATCACCGTTTGCTCACTGCAACTAAGTACCCAAGACCATTGACCCGAGTTCTATCGCACTGGCAGGAACTTTTCACACCCTGTTCTGCTTTGATCTGACCTCCAAGGCTCACAACCTTCTCTGAAAATTCCGCCATTCAATATCCCGGCCTCCTTCGTCCCCTATTTCTTGCAGGCGATCCCAATCGTCTTTGTAGAGGCTATCTCACTTCCTACGAATAAGATCACTGTTTTCCCTTACAAAGCCTGAGGCTGAAGTCTCCTCTCACTTGCCTCCCTCTCTTGCCCGCTCCCACCTGACTCTCTCCCTCCCTCCTCCTCTCTTCCTCTACTCGCTCCCTCTGCCACAAAACCCCATCGCGCCCATCAGCAAACAAAGAAAAAGTCACTCATGGGCCCCCCACCCCCCTCATCATCATCCGAAAAGGGGGTAGACCGAAGGTAAGACCAGATCCTTCACTTTGAGTAAAGAGATCCCTCTATTTTTAACTCCTATACACTTCCTAGCACCAGGGGCCTAGAAAGCTCGTACAGTAGCAGCCGGGTTGGCAACAGGCGTATCTGGGCCCCGGGCCCCGAATGACCGTCTGAGTGCCGTACTAGGCTACCGAGTCACCGGCTCGGTGCCCGAACACTCCGAGGCTCAGTCCCGGCGGCCCGCCGGGCCGCGCCAAGCGGCTGCCCCGGTCACCGGGTGAACCGTGCCAAATTCACTGAGTTAAGTTTGGGGGCCCGGACTCGGGACAGCCTGGCACTGTTGGCCGTGGCAGCCTCAGTCGGATTAGGTTTGGTTCTCCGAGCGCTGTCCTGAGACGGTCTTTTCTCTCCTCGCCGTTTGGCCTGGCGCGACAGAGTGCGAGTCGGCCAGGGTCAAGCCTCCTCGCCGAGTCCGACGACTCTCCTGATTGTCCTCGTACTGATCTTTAACTTAACTTCAAGTGAGTAAATAAGGCCAAAGTTGAACCGTGAACGGCGCAGTGAAGCGTGACGGTCCCGAGTCACTGAGTCCCACAGTGACTGTCGGAGGCCGGCCCCCGGCGCAACTCAGTTTTGAGCAGTGCATGAACTCGGAGGCCCGGCCAGTCACTGAGTGCCAGCCCTGGCCGCGGCACTCAGCCGGAGCCGGGCGGCGGGAGCCTGGCTAGAAGTTTATTAGGGTTTTATTCCAACAATCTCTTGTACTCTTCCAAGAGTTTTATAGAGCTATTTATGTTTTATAGCTCAAAATTGTGTTTTTGTCCCAATCAATAATATATATATTTAAATTTATCAATCAAGAAAATGTAAAAACTAATTTAATATTAAAACTAACGACCCTCCGAGGTCCAAAGCGACCCGTCGCGGTTATGCCACACTCAGGACCCTACCACCCTTCGGCCACTCCTCTACCCCCTCGACATCCTTTGCCTTTCGCCGGGACCTGTGGTGAGTCCAAACCCTGCACGTTCTTAATTGCTTCAATTGTTGTTTATGAATTATTCATGCTCTTATATTGTTATTACACAGATTTTCCCTACGATCAAAATACAATATACTATAATAAAATCAATTTATAGACCCTCTGCAGAGCCACAAGGAAGCGGCTCCCACCCTACCACATGTATCTGTCTGATAACCCCCACCCTCCCCAATGAAGTACCCTACATACTCCAATTTCGTAATCACCCCTATCGTTTATGCACATCTACCGTCCCCTCCTTATTGATCTCAAGTACCCACCCTCTATCCCATCTACCCTGGCAAACAACTTATGGCAGTGAAATGACCCCTATTTTCAGGACCCACCCCATTAAAGCCATCTTCTAACCTCTCCAAATTTACTATTACCACCCACCTTCAATTACCCCCACCCACCCTATCATATTGTCACTACCTCTTTTTACGGTCTCCGTTTACTACCCTCCCTTGTCCATCTTGCCTTTATCACCCCTTGTGTACCCTAGACAACTACCTATTCTCACCACCCCTACCAATGGATGACCCTACCTACTTCCGGGTCTCTCCACATTCCCCAATAGCTTGCATCCCTACTTTTGATCTGTTCCACCCCACCCCACTATTTCAACCACCCACCATCTGATTCACGTGGTCACTACCTACCAAATAAGCAATGTAGTCCACCCTTGTGTGAGACCACCATCTCCAGCGTTCATCCACCCATCCTTTATCCTATCACCACCCTATGTAAATTAAGGCCATCACCCTGATCTTCACTAGACCACCCCCAGCAATCGATGACCCTACCGGACTGTGACCTTGCTGGTCACCTGTACCCTGCTATTTGAACACCCCACCCCATAGGTTTGCCAACCCCACCAACTCGGCGGCAAGCATGCAGCGAGCAGCAGGGCTGCTTCGCTCACGCGGCATGCAGCCGCGCGTGGCCCTTCTTGGCAGGCAAGTTTCAACCAGACGGAAATGAATGTTCACCTCCCCTGCATTGCGCTCGGATGGCGGCTAGATGTCTGCTTCATCGCCGCCATACTGAGCTTCTTGTTCTTGTGCCGATGTAGCGCTGTTGCGACCCCTTGACCTTGTTGACCGCGTATGGAGGGTGGACATGCCCTCATAGTGAACATGATTTCGCACGCAAGTCATGAATCTCCTGGTGCTGTTTCTCACTTGGAATCTGCAGGTATGAAGGGATCAGATTGCTGCCCGGGTTTCTGGCAAGAGGCTTCTCTTCCAGGGCCGACGACCTGAACGCCGAGAGCGCGTCGGGCGCGAGATCGCAGTATACTTCACACACCATGCTGCCAGGAAAGCAGGGGATGTATGATCCTGCCCTGGAGAGAGACAATTGTGGTGTTGGTATGATTGCCAACTTGAAGAAGACGGAGAGTCACAGGATCGTGAAGAACGCTCTTCAGGCGAGTCTAAAAGTTGCACCCTTGCTCTCTATCACACATCATACTTCGGGGGCACTTCGAAACATGCACGTCGATGGAACGACACTGACGTTTGAGCATGACAGGTCCTCGAAAGGATGGCACATCGTGGAGGTTGTGGCTGCGAGGTCAACACTGGAGATGGGTCGGGAGTTTTGTTCACCATGCCAGACACCTTTTATCGTCAAGAGTGTGAGAAGGCTGGTGTGAAGCTGCCCCCTCGTGGAGAGTATGGTTCTGGCTTGATCTTCTTCTCAAGAAAGGTGGGTCTCTGACAGTTCATCTTTTTGCCGGAGGTTGCGTAGCTGAGTACTTTTCAGCCTGGAATGCTTGAAAAGTGCAAGGGAATCATCGAGAAAAGGTATTGACTGAAGTGTTAGAGAAGGTCGAATGAGTGTATCTGAAGGTGCCAGGAGCACGGTTTCAAGATTCTTCATTGGAGGGACGTTCCCACAAACAACTCCACAATTGGTTAGAGGATAAAGGGAAAATCACTTTGAAATAATGCCCTGTTCATTCAGGCCCATCTGCTTTGGCTTGTGAGCCCAAGGTCATGCAAGTTTTTGTGGCTCCGACGGCGAAATTGGCTCCGGAAGTGCTTGAGACGGTGTGGCAATCTTGTTGTGTTACGCTGGGTCTCTGCCGGCTAGACTTCTCATGTTGATGCAGGAACTTATGATCCTCAGACGTGTTTTCGAGAGAGAAATCGCAGAAATTTTCATCGATCTTGTATTCTATCCAGTTTCTTGAGTTTACCTTTGCGCTAACTGATATGTAGGGTCGCGATTGGACGCAAGAGTTCTATCCTTGCACCCTTTCATCGAAAACCATTGTGTACAAAGGCATGCTCACTCCTGAACAAGTCCGGGAGTACTACTTGGATCTTCAGAACGAAAAGTTTGAGACGTATCTTGCTCTGGTTCATTCTCGCTTCTCCACAAACACGTTTCCTTCATGGAGTCGTGCGCAGCCCATGCGCATGCTCTGCCACAACGGCGAGATCAACACTTTGAAGGGAAATGCTAATTGGATGTCTGCAAGAGAAAGTGTGATCCTCTCGCCTAAGCTTGGCAAGGAAAAGACTCAGATGATGTTGCCAGTGATTGACAAGTCACAATCCGACTCGGGTTCATATGACAACGTGTTAGAGTTCATGTACCACGGATCCAACCGCACTCTTGCGGAGTGCATGCTCATGATGATTCCAGAGCCATGGCAAAATGATGGCAATATTGATGAAGATACCAAGGCTTTCTACAAGTTCTATTCCAATGTGATGGAACCGTGGGATGGTCCTGCGATGATCGCTTTCACAAACGGAGATGTAATTGGTGCTACGTTGGACAGGAATGGCTTGAGGCCAAGCAGATACTACGTTACCGATTCGAATGGAAGTGGAGTACCTGAAGAAGTTATTCTATCTTCAGAAGTCGGATGTCTTCAGGATGTTGTCCCTGTTGAAAGCATCATTGAACGTGGAAGATTGCGCCCCGGTCAGATCTTCATGGTGGATCTCAAAGAGGGATGCATTGTTCGTGACAAGGAGCTCAAGAAGCAATTGTCTACCAACGCGCCTTTCCGTGAATGGGTTGATGGAATGATCCCTCTTTCTAAGGTTTGAGGCTGACAGATGGTATATTTGTTTCACTGATTCAAATAATAGGTCATTGAGGTTTCACCTAAGATTCCCGAGGATCAGAAGAACTTGCGTGCAACAAACAGGCTTCTCACTGCTCATGGCTATACAACTGAGGCTGTCGATACAATCATCACACCTATGGGAGCAACCGGCAAAGAGGCCTTGGGGTCCATGGGCAACGATGCTCCTCTTGCATGCCTTTCCTTGAAGCCTCGCTTGCTGTACGAGTATTTCAAACAGCTCTTTGCTCAGGTCTTGACTTAGGATGGAACATTTTGAAATTGACAGAATGGTGCAGGTTACAAACCCTCCCATCGATCCCCTGAGAGAGTCGCTCATTATGTCACTGAAACTTCCTTTGGGTCCTGAGGGAAATCTACTGGACAAGGCGGGCAATCAATCCGAAAGGATTGATGTTGAATGCCCCCTCCTCTCGTTGGAGGAGATGCATGCCTTGAAGCATATGGACCACAAAGGATACAAGACCTATGTGGTCGATTGTACGATTCCCTATGAGGATCCTAGCAATCCACCATCGAAGGAAGTGTTGCTCAAGGAGTTGGACAGGATCGAGAAGGAAGCTGCAGATGCAGTCCGCAAAGGATTCAAAATCATCTGCCTCTCAGACAAGAAGGTTTCCGATACACGAGTCCCGATTGATTCGATGCTTGCTGTGGGTTGTGTGCATCAGTACCTCATCAAGCAGAAGTTGCGAACATTGAGTGGCTTGATCCTTGAGAGCGGATCTGCACATCAGGTCAATTTCTCTTTCCATCTATGATCGTTCCAACGAAGTTTGATGACAGTTACTCAGGTGCATCACTATGCTCTCCTCTTTGGTATGGGAGCGGATGCTGTCTGCCCATATCTCTGTTACCATGCTCTGCACAAGGCTCGCGATGAAGGTCGCCTTGGTATGCAGTACACGGATGCTGAGATCACGGACCGTGTGAAATCAGCCTTTGATTACGGAGTTCGCAAGGTATTGCTCCTCTTAAGTGTTGCGCTCGTTTCCTGAAGACGCACTCGTAGGTAATGGCGAAGATGGGAATCTCCACTTTGCAAAGCTACCGCGGAGCACAGATTTTCGAGGCCCTTGGTATCAGCTCAGAGATCATTGACAGAGCATTCACTGGAACCCCGTCTCGCATCGGAGGAGTCACATTTGATATCTTGCTTGAGGATATGCTGAAGTATCACGACATGGCCTTCCCCAAGGACCCTGAGAGCACTGGGTGAGTCGATTCGTTCCCAGAGACTCTGCCTATTTGTTGATGGATGTTGAATCTTCGAACGATCCTGATCTGATATGATGCCATGCAGATACAAACCAAACTACGGCATCGAATCAAGATTCACTGCTGCTCGTGTCGGCGGAGTATTCGACTCCGACGATGACAAGTTCTCGCTCCCCAACCTGGGAGACTTTCACTATCGTGATGGTGGCGAGCTGCATTACAATGCACCGGAACAGATGGCCATGCTTCAGGAAGCTGCCAGGAAAAATTCCCGCGAAGCATACGAGAAGTATATGAACATCTCGCACAAGCTCGTTCAAGGTGTCACTCTTCGTGGCCAACTGACGTTCAACACGACGGGCGTCACCCCCATTTCGATTGACGAGGTTGAACCAACGGCCGAAATCGTCAAGAGGTTCACGACCGGTGCAATGTCCTTGGGATCGATCTCAGCGGAAGCTCATGAAACCTTGGCCTTGGCCATGAACCGGTTTGTTGAATCTCATGCTGCTGAATGTTGAATTTCACACTCGTTCTCCTAGTCTGGGTGCCAAGTCCAATACTGGAGAAGGCGGAGAGAGTGAAGAAAGGCTTGTTGATCCTTCAAGGCGAAGTGCTATCAAGCAGATCGCCTCTGGGCGATTCGGTGTGACTGCCAACTACCTCACCAATGCTATTCAGCTTCAGATCAAGATGGCTCAAGGAGCAAAGCCTGGTGAAGGAGGAGAGCTTCCTGGATTCAAGGTGCTGTCTGACAGCATGATTTGGCATTGTGCCTAACCCTTGCGTCAGGTATCCATGGATATCGGCAAGCTTCGCCACTCCACTCCTGGAGTTGGGCTCATCTCGCCCCCCCCTCACCATGACATCTACTCGATTGAAGACCTCGCGCAACTGATCTACGATCTCAAGTGCTCAAATCCTGCTGCACGAATTTCAGTCAAGCTCGTCTCCGAAGTCGGTGTAGGAGTTGTGGCGGCCGGTGTTGCTAAGGCGAAGGCGGATCATATCCTGATCTCAGGGCATGACGGTGGAACTGGTGCAGCTCAATGGGGTGGTATCAAGAGCACTGGTCTTCCTTGGGAGCTTGGTCTTGCAGAAGCTCATCAAACCCTCGTGATCAACGATTTGAGGTCGCGAGTCATTCTGGAGACTGACGGACAAATGAAGACTGGGTGAGTGTCGATCGGTGTTGCCTCTGTCTCATTTCTCTACTGTGGCGAGAGAGGGGAGAGACAACTCTCTATGTATCTGACACGTCGTGTAGATTGGATGTTATCATGGCGTTCATGCTTGGAGCAGAAGAATGCGGATTTAGCACGGCCCCACTCATCTCGATCGGATGCATCATGATGAGAAAGTGCCACCTTAACGTTTGCCCTGTGGGCATTGCTACTCAAGACCCAGAGCTGCGCAAGAAGTTCAAGGGATTGCCGGAACATGTGGTCAACTTCTTGTGGATGATTGGCGAAGAGGTCAGAATGCACATGGCTAAGATCGGAATCAGGAAAATCGATGATCTCATCGGCCGATCTGATCTCTTGAAATTCAACGAAGAAATCAGGAACAAGAAGACTAAGAACCTTGATCTGTCTTCAATCATCACCCCTGCTTTCACTCTCCCGGGTTTGATCAACCCCAAGGCAATCACCAGGAGTGCAATCAAGCAGGATCATGAGTTGGAGAAGCACATCGACAATATCATCATCCCCAAGGCAAAAGAGGCGCTTGAGTCCAAGAAACCTGTCACCATTGAGACTGAGATCATCAACATCCAACGCAGCTGCGGTACAATGCTCAGCCATGAGATTTCCAAGAGGTAGCGATGGGAGCAGAAAAGCAGCGGTCGGGTATCTGACAGGTGGTTCAACAGGTACGGAGAAGCTGGTCTTCCAGATGACACCATCACCATCAAGGTTCATGGCTCCACTGGCCAGAGCTTCGGTGCATTCCTTACCAAGGGAGTCACCATGATTGTCACTGGAGACGCCAACGACGGTCTTGATCGGCCAGAGAGAAGTTACTGTGAGCTCACTTTCACTCAGGCACTGGCAAGGGTCTTTGCGGTGGCAAAATCGTGGTGAACCCCGACCCCAGGAACTTGAAGCGGTGTGTTCCTGATTTCGTATAGTTGCTACTTGATTGATTGTGTGAACTACAGTGGCTTCGTTGCCGAGGATAACATCATCACTGGCAACGTGGCTCTGTATGGAGCCACCTCAGGGAGGGTAAGCTAGGCTTACACCCGTACCCTCATCGTGAAAGCGTCTCCAGGCATTCTTCCGAGGTATCGCAGCCGAAAGGTTCGCAGTCCGTAACTCCGGAGCCATCACTGTCGTCGAGGGCTGTGGCGATCATGGACTTGAGTACATGACCGGAGGCAGAGCCGTCATTTTGGGAGAAGTTGGCAAGAACTTTTCTGCTGGAATGAGTGGTGGAATTGCTTGGGTATATGATCCCAAGGGTCAGCTCAGGTAACATGTTCAAAGGGTATTCAAGTTTTCTTACTGACACTTGCTTGGGGAATGTTCAGGTACAAGGCAAACTTCGCAGAGCCCATGAGGGACTTCGAGCGTCTGGAAGGCGATATCTACGAGCAAGAACTCATCGGCTACATCAAGGAACATCTTGCAGCTACTGGATCTACCGTTGCCAAATCTATCTTGGACAACTGGGAGGTGGAGAGAGAGAAGTTCGTTCAGGTGGAAGTTGGTCCTGCGTTTTTCTCGAGTAGCTGAGGCCCTGCAGGTCTTCCCCCTTGACTACAAGAGAGCAAGGAAGCAGGCTGCGGACGCTGACTCTTGGAAGGGTCGCGAAGAGAGCCACAAGGAGAAGAACCTGGAGGTTTGCGAAACTCGTCATGTGTGCTCCAAGATGATGTTGGACTGTGAGCAGATTGATATGGACGCTAAGAAGATTAAGGTTCAGGCTCACACGCCTAGCGAGAAGGAGATCGCAACCAAGTTCAATAAGCTCCGTGGGTTCGTGGAGATCGAGCGCATCCCTGAACCCTACCGTGAGCCATCGGAGCGTCTCACGGACTGGGGAGAGATCTACACTCCTGTTAAGGCTCACGATGCTGAAAGAAAGCGCCAGGCAGCGAGGTCAGCAATGTGCTGCTCGGTTTCGCGTCTTGACAATTATTCCAGGTGCATGGACTGCGGTACCCCATTCTGTCAGACTCACTCGGGTTGCCCAATCCACAACCTCATGCCTGAGTGGAACGAGCTTGTCTTCAAGGAGCAATGGAAGGTAAAGGGATCGATTTTGTCTGCTCATCAAAACTCATATTGGTTTAAAGACCGCTCTTGATCGTCTCCTTACCACCAACAACTTCCCTGAGTTCACCGGACGAGTTTGCCCTGCGCCTTGCGAGGTCTTTGGGGCAGTGTCCTTGCCGTCGGTCCGCCCTGATTCCTTGCATTGCAGGGTGCCTGCGTTGCCGGATTGGTCGCTGCGCCAGTGACGATCAAGAACATCGAGTACGCGATCATCGATCGTGGTTTCAAGGAAGGATGGGTCAAGCCCAGGATCCCCAAGGTGCGTGAGACCTCTTTATCATGGCATAGCTGACGATGGAGGGGTGATAGGATCGCACTGGACTCACCGTGGCGATCGTCGGCTCTGGTCCAGCAGGCTTGGCAGCTGCGGATGAGTTGAACCAGATGGGACACAAGGTTTGACAAGCTGGCGACGTCGAGCAGCTCTCATGCTTGTCTTGCAGGTCACTGTGTTCGAGCGTGACTCCAAACCAGGAGGGCTTCTCATGTATGTCTACCGCTTAAGATCGAACTTGAGCTGACGATGTTTCTAGGTTTGGCATCCCCAACATGAAGTTGGACAAGAGAGTGGTTCAGAGGAGGCTCGAGATCATGCAGTCCGAAGGAATCGACTTCATCTGCAACGTCGAAGTCGGCAAGGACGTGACTGCAGATCAGGTCAGGAGAAGTTTTCGCGGCGGCTGCGACTGACTCGCGATGTTTCAGCTCAAGAGCAAGTTTGATGCTGTCCTGCTCACCGTGGGAGCCACGAAGCCAAGAGACCTTCCGATCCCTGGCAGGAATCTCAAGGTGACGACGAAGCTTCCGGCTAGGGAGATGCGTGATGGCTTGTACCTTTCAGAACATCTACTTTGCCATGGAGTTCTTGGGCAAGCAGCAACAAGCCTTGTTTCGCCAGAACCCTGAGCTCATGACCAACGCCATCTCCTTCAGGACCCCGTACAAGGTATTGCCCTTGCAAAGACGATTCCCTCCCCTTTGCCTGTACCTAAGACTATCGGCGAAGGGCAACAAGGACTGGAAGCTCGAGTACGACGGCAGCTTCATCGATGTCCGTGGAAAGCGTGTGGTCGTGATCGGAGGCGGAGACACGGGAACCGACTGCACCGCCACGTCTGTCAGGTGCGGAGGCTGAGCGAGTTGAGAGAGATTCGGGTGCTGACGAGCATGTAGGCATGGATGCAAGAGCCTCGTCAACCTCGAGCTCCTCGACAAGCCTCCCCCTACTCGTGACGAGATCGCCAATGCCTGGCCCGCCTACCCCCGCATCTTCAGGACGGACTATGGACAAGAAGAGGTTAGTCCACCGCATGGGAGCCTGTCTTGAGTGATGTTTCATCAGGTGAAGAAGCGCGACGGCGCCGATCCTCGCAAGTATGCCGTCATGACCAAGGAGTTCATCGGAGACGAGCAGGGCAACGTCAAGGCCATCAAGATCGTCTCTCTCAAGGTTGCCTGCCGCCTCCTCTCCATTTTGTGCATGTCCAACTTTCCGCTCTCGCATCCCTTGACCTTCGCCTGTTTGCTTCCTCGTCTCTTCTCCTCCCCCCGTGGCCTCTGCAGTTCTCTTTCTTGACCTCATTACGTCAGGTTGCACGAGATGCAAACGGAAAGCCAACGATCGCAGAGATCGAGGGATCCGAGCAGTTGATCGAGACCGACGCTGTCATCCTCGCCATGGGCTTCGTGGGCCCCGACCCCAACCTGGTCGAGGCGTTCAAGACCGAAGCCACTCCCCAGTCCAACATCAAGGTAGGAGAAGAGGCAGGAGGCAGAGGGTGCTGTTGGCTGATGAGCGGGAGAGTGACCTGGGGCTCAGGCGATGCACGGATCCAACGGTGATGGCTACAGAACGTCAGTGGATGGCGTGTTTGCTGCGGGAGACTGCCGGTGAGCCCGAGAGATTTAGATGAGTAGAGGATGCAACAAGAGGAGAGGAGAGAGAGGAGGGGGGAGAGAAGGGATGTGGTGGGAGGGGGATGGAAGAACGAAGGAGGGGGAGGGAGAAGAAAAGGAGGACGACGGGGGGGGGGGGGGGGGAAGAAGGAAGAACGATCCCTGACATTTGGTGGGCAGGAGAGGTCAGTCGCTCGTCGTGTGGGCCATCAACGAGGGTCAACGCGCTGCTGATGCTGTGAATCGTTTCTTGCTCGAGGTGATTTACATCCTCCTCTTCCTGCTCCTCATCCTCAGTCTCTTCCCTCCCTGCTCCTCTCCATCAGCCTCTTGTGCCCCTTCCCCTTTCTGTCTCTTTCTGCTTCTCATCTTCTTCTGCAGTCGCGTACTCAGCACGTCTCGCAATCCTCGTCCGAGGGAGTCAAGAGAGCGTCTCAGGCGAGGTCCTTCCACACCAGAGCACAGGATGTGGACAGAGAGTGAACGAGTGAAGACTGTCGTGAGGGTTTTCGCTCACCTTAAATTTAACACCAACATTAAGTTTGTATCTACACGCCTTTCCTGAGCTTCCCACCCTCCCATCCCACCTCACCCTGGTGAATCGCCTGCTGCCTTGCGCTGCTCGATTGCCTTCACCTTGCTCATGGCAACCTCGACGACCCGTCTGCAGCCCTCCCCCTCGTCCCCTATTCTCTCTCTTCCCTCCTCCTTGCGCGTCCTCTACTCCCCTCCTTGTGTTCGAGACTCCACACGCTTCGAGCGCAACCGGCAGATGTCATCCTGTCAAACGTCAGCTCCACTCCAGCTGGGGCCAGTGACGCACCAGGGTACACCACAGGTTGGGAGCGGTGCGAGAGAGGGGCAGAGCGTCCTTATAGGAGAGCTCCAGGAGAACCACGTCTTCAGTCGCCATGATGTCTGCGAGAACGAGAACATCAGTCTCCTCATCTCTTATTGCCGCCTGCGTCTCCCTCGTCCCTCTGCCCTTCGCTCCTCCATCTGCTCCCAGCCCACAGCCTCTTGCAAAGCTCACAAGCCGGATATCACCTGCTCCTCTCCTGCACTGTTTCCGCGCTTCCTCCTCCAGCATCCCCCCTTGACTGCACAACGCAAATCCCATCAGCCGTTTTTTCCACCTCGTCCGCCCTCTCGTACCATAGTTTGCACAGATTCATCATAGAAACTTCTCCGAAACATTGTCCGCGGCTAAGTTTGTCGATCTCCTACTGATACGTCACTTCCTCCTCCTCCTCCTGCACTCCTACCGATCCGTCTAGCACGCACGTGCAGCATCCCGACGCCACCCAGAACATCTTGTCTCCCTCACTGCGCCTGAACGTCAGCCAACTCCCCTCCCTCCTCCGTCCATGCAGCCCTCCGTCCTCCCCTCTTCAACCCGCATTCCCTCTCTCTCAACCCTCCTCTCCTGTTCCCTCCCCTCAAAGGAATATCCCTTCCTCTCCCTCAATCCACTTTCTCCGCCTCGGCCTCGCATCACCTTCCCTTCTTGGCTATCGTCGACCCCCTCTTAAAGCTCCGCACGTGAAGCTTCCGCGCGATTCCCCGCAAACAAAATTCGTCGACGCGTCGAGCTGGAGGAGCAGCAGAGGTCAGAGGCTCTTTCAATCTCAGTTCTTGTGGGAATCTGAACCTGTGCAGGCGGTGGAGGATTTCAGCGTCTCGATCCTTTCCTCCAGACTCATGGAGATGGGCTCCCTGCGAGCCAGACTAAAACTCAAGCGACCGTCCCCTTCTCCTCTTACATCTCTGTGTTGTCAACCTCCACTTCACAAATTTCGCCTTGTTCCCCCTGCTCTGTTGAAAGATCCTCCGCCTCCCTCATTGAGCCTGATGCTGCGCTTTGCACTCGTTGCTCTGCCCTGTCCATCTCCTCCCCTCGGAACCAAGCCTCAACGTTCTCCACCTCCTGTTCGTCGTCAGCTGGAGCTTTCTTGGCTGCCGAGTGCACGTCACCTTTCTCAGCACCGGCATCGACGTGAACTTCTCAATTGCATCATGAATGTTCGCAACGCACTGTGAGAAACGAGATTCGTCAAAGAGTTGAAAAACGACGAGAGAAAGAGAGGTGCGGGGTGGGGGGAGCAGAGAGACGGTGAAGAGGAAGGGACATGGCTGCTGCGCGTGGAGTTCAATATGGAGGTGAAGGGCGAAGAGGCAGAGAAGAGTGGTGGAGAAGGTTGAAGGTATGGGCAGAAAGATCACCAGCACTCCATCTGAGTGGATCGAAACTCTCCTTGACTTCTTGTTCATGGTCTGGCCACACAGCTCATGATCAGCACTCAAGCGCCTTCAACACATTCACCGTCACCTTATATCGCACGTAAGCCGGTTCTGTGTAACCGGGGGCTAACTCTGCAACATCGCGAGTAAGAAGGAGTTCTCGAGATGTCAAGGTAGGAGGGTGAGATCAAGAATCTAGTTTGAAAGCTAACAAGCTATGAAACAAGTTCACAGGAAAGCCTCTCAACGTGATCCTTCCCTCAACCAAGTCGCATTTCAACCATCTCTTCACCCTCGCATGCTCCTGCATCCCTCACGACCTCGGACCCACCTTCTGGATCCCACTCTATCTCCGATTCGAAGATATCCTCATGCCTTGCCGATGCCAACGTCTGTTCGTTCTCAACCTCCTTCTCGGATGCAATAGTGAAATTCTACATGCAAACAATCAGCAGCAGTGCCGGCGCAAACACCCGTGCTCACCATCGAAGTCTCTCGGATAGAAATTGAGCTCATCACTTCCATACACCTGCCGGCATTGATCGCGTCCATGGCAGACCTCAGTCTCTTCAGTTGCTTCACGACCACGGCGTCGATCTCGTCTTTCTCCTCTGTCTCGTTTTCAATGAGACGGTGCTCTGTATTCGAAGATCGCTTCTCCATGCTGAGTTGAACATCCAGCTCAGACGTCAACTCGTTGATCTGGTGCATCACGCTCGTACTCTCCATCTCTCCTACCCCGACTACCTTCTCACATGATCCTCCTCTTCATCCCCCGATCCAGATCATCTCTGAGCAGCCATGAACGATCACTCAGCCCTTGATACAAGACGATAACTTCCAGCCTGCGGTATGCTTCAGTAACGTCATCAGACATAATGCTCGCCACGTCTTAGATGCTTCTTCACTGTCCCTCAAGCAAACAAGCCGATATGTCCTTCACACACACTCTCTCTCCGTGTTTCCTCTTCATATCCCACATTCACCCGACACTCTTCACTAGACCGTGATCTGACGTCGAGAGGTCAACGTGGAGGAAGAATGAATCAACCCCGACTAATATGCTGCCTAAGCTTCACCTCCTTCCTCTCCTCCTCCTTGTCCATCTTACCACATCATCTCTTCTCTTCCTGCCATCTCCCCTCCCTTCCATCCTCTCTCCTCCATCTAACCCCCGAGTTTGCCATGGCGCTCATGTGCATAAAAGTAGCACTGCTCAGTAGGGGGTCATCGACCATCCTGAGGGAGGTGGGGGTCATTCCCTCCAGACGAGGGGTGTAACGCCACAGGGAAATTAGTTATGGGTAGGGTGATGTGAAAGGGGTGGGTACACCTGGGTATTTTTGATGGAAAAGTGTTGAAAGAGAGGGGTGGGCGACAAAAAGGAGGAGGGTGTAGAATTACTGAGGGGGTGGGGTAGTTGAAGAGTGCAGGGGGAGAGAAGAGGGTAGAGCAGGAGGAGGGGACGGAAGGGAGATAACAAGAGGGGGGTGGGGTAGAAAGAATGCTTAATGAGAGGGGTAGTTGTTCTTACAGGTGGGTAGGGGGTCATTGGGCAGAGCGTTTATTGGATATTGTATCCGTACCTACTCTACCCCTTGTCCTCATGACCCCATTCTGATCCTCCAAGTACCCCATTATTTGCAGACATATTTATGCTGAGCAGGCCTCCTACCCCTACTTGAATTACCACCCCCTTCGAGATCAACCCCACCCCCATCGGAATCACACCCCGACCTCCTCACAGATTCAAGTCTCAAAAAACCACCGGTACCGGGTCACATATTTCAAACGACGTGTTTTGAAAAGTCAAAGTAGGGGTCCTAGTGGTATCTAGTTGGGTCCTAGGAAATATATCGGACGATTCTGTCATAGGTTCTACTTGAGCTGAAGTAAAGAAAAGGTTCACATATCAGTGGGTAGGGTACTCATGCAGGTAGCAATTTCCCACGTCAAACAAGCAGAATAAGGGGGTACTTTGAGAACAAGGTAGGGTGGTGGCAAAGGGTGGAGTCCGCGCTCACTTAAAATAAAAAATCATTTTATGGATCAGCCTCATCCCCGCATATCATCATCTCTTCTCATCGCCTGCTCGGTCACTCACTGAGTCAGTACCGGCCGTGGCCCGGCCCGGCCGGGCCCCCGGGGGGGCCGGCCGATCATCTCGACGGGCCGCCGGCCACATCCGTGAGTCTCAGGCCACGGGCCAGCCACCCAGGCTGACTCTACGGTCACGTGCCATGATGGTCCTTCCGATTCAACGGTTGAACTGAAAGTGAAAAAAATCCAACGTGCTCGACCTAAACGCTCGGAACTTAGGCTTCGGCGAGCGCTTACGGTTACTGTGAGTTACTCGAACGTGGAGTCCGATCAGCCGGGCTTCATGTCCGGCCCGGTGCCAGTCCGATCCGAGTCACCTCACTCAAAGTTAAGTCACCCTGCGGGCCGCAGTGAGTCCCGGCGGCGGGCCCTCGGACTTGACTCCCGGGTGACTGACTCTGAGCAAGTCTGAGACTCTTGACTGAGTTCAGTGACCGTCTTGTACCAACCGTCGGATCGATCACATCAGAGTCTCAGGCTCATCACATCACATCACATCACATCACATCTCATCACGTCACGTCACATCTCATCACATCACATCACATCACATCACATCACATCACTGATATCACTCACATGATAGGCTAGTATTACATGAAAATGACATCATGGCAGCATGGCGAATACTAGGCTCAACAAACGAGCTGCTGCCTGCCTGAGCTCTGCGGCAGCCGCCAGCTCATAAGGGACCAGGAGAGGTACAAGTGAGTCACTTGCCGCCTGTGCCTCTCCTGCTCCCTCCTGTACAGATGTCCCATCCTCTCGCACCTCAGCCTGCATCTCAGTCGCCGGCTCAGGTGATGGAAGCAGCGGTAGGCCATGAGCGCGGCGGAGCGGCGGGAGCGCCAGAGGAGGAAGGAGGACCTGAGGGGAGGTAGCGCTAGAGCATGTTTCGATGCGATGACGAGCTTCGTCGATGATGCGCTTGCCCGCCAGGCGAGGAGGAGGAGGAGGAGGAGGAGATCTTGCTGCCTCCTCTTGTGCCTTCTGATCACTACAAGACGCTGAGACTCTCCATCTGCTCCACCCGGCTGCAAGGAAAATCAGATTGCTGTAATGAAGATGGTGGTGGCTGTTGAAGATGGGAGGAGGAGGAGGAGGAGGAGGAGGAGGAGGAGGAGGAGGGAGGAGAATAGGAAGATGGTATTGGCGACTTACCTCATCTATGGTATACTCGTCCATGTACGCTCTGGCTCCACTTAGTCTCAGCAGCAAACGCCTACTGCTGGTCTGCGTGCTGTTGCTCCTGGTCAGTTTGCCCAGCCCGCTGCCTGTCTCTGTTCTCTCTTGGGCCTCGTTGACGTGGAGCGAGTCTGCAGTAGCAGGAGGTTGCGATATCTCCTGCAGGATGTCCGAGTTTGACACGATGAGCTGATGAACTTGTTCCAGGACCTTCCCCAGCACGTGTCGGTCAGGCGTCAGTTGCGAGCTCTT